TACACACAGATCCATACACCTAGTGGTTGTAGCCAGAGTGCTGAGCAAGGGAACACTTTCTGTTGGCCTCTGTCTCTCACTCTCTTACACTGAGCTGGTCTTAGCACGACACATACTCTTGAACATTTATCTTCTAGCTTGGTTGGAGTGGGGGTGGGGGTCTTAAAGGGCAGCCGGCTGCCAGCCAGAGGTGGGGAGGGAGGCAGGTGGGTGAGGGAGATGGTGCCCTGGGAGGAGGACTAGCTGGGGAAAGGATTGGGTGACAGCCCACCCCATCAGCCTCTGGTAACTCAATCCCCGTACCCTACCCTCCCTGTTCCCTCCTACTGACAACCTCACAGCTGCTGGCAGAAGCTGGGCTGGCAGAGCATGTATGAGTGCATGTGTGTGTGGGGTGAGAGGGGTTGTAGGGGCAGGGGGTGCTGCCAGGACATGTTAAAGGAGACTCTCAGCCTGGGTACAACCTGGGTGGCAGGAGGAGGTGGGGCTAGTGAGAGAGTGGGTGGTGAGTGATGGGCAGGGGGCAGACTGGAAAGGAGCAGAGTAGGCCAGGGGTCTCACAAAACTTGTCTGCACTGGAGCAGGGCCTGGCATGGTGGGGGTGGCCAGAGTGATGAGGGGGCAGGATGGGCCCAGCTGTGGCTTGTCCAGGAAGCTGAGGCCTGATCTTCACCAGGGGGCTCAGGTAACTCTGGAGGGCACAGCCTGCCCCTGTCCCCGATCCCTGGGCCATGACTGCCAGGGCATCACAGTCCCTGTGACTAAGTCACTTCTGTCCTGAGGCTGGCACGGTGCCAGGCTTAGCTTTTCTCGGTAGATGAGTCATTGCCCTGGCATCTACGCTGGATGCAGCTGAGTCACCCGGCTATGCCTGCTGGGGAGGTGGGCACCACACTTGGGGAGGGGTTATGTGTGTAACCTCCAGTGCCTTCTCTGATCTTCCTTCTGTCCTGGCCCCACCCATAAACCTGCTGAGCCGGGCGAGAATGGTGTTTCTCCCAAGTGCTCTCCCCAAGGGGGTAAAGAAGAGACAGCAGGATCCCAAAACCAAACCTACTGCCATTGAGTTGATTCTGACACATAGTGACCCCCATTGGATTTTCAAGGCTATAAATGTGTACAGAAGTAGATTGCCTCATCTTCCTCCTGCAGAGCAGATAGTGGGTTTGAACCACCGACCTTCTGGTGAGCAGCCCAATGCCTTACCCACTACACCACCAGAACTTCTTAGTGGAGTGGAAATGTGTTCCATTTGGAGTAAATGGGCATGAGGAGAGGAGAGAGCGATGGGTTTGAATCCCAGCTCTGCAGTGACAAGCTGGGTGACATGGCAAGGCACTGTCCTTTCTGAACCTCACTTTCCTCATCTGTACAATAGGAATGGGGAGCCTTGCCTCAGATTCCCCTCAGGACTGTGAGAATCTAAGGAGGTGGGGCCACCAAGGTACTTGTGGGAGGAGCTCTTTTTGGGATGAGCTGTGGGTGGCTGGAGTGGGGAGGGAGTCTGTTGGGGCTGTTTCTTTTTTTTATTTTTCAGAGATTTTTATTTTATTTTATTTTGCAGTGTTCCTTCCACTCCCCTCCCACCCCTGGTAGCCAACAAAGAAAGTTTCCTTCCATATATAAACCTTTTCTTGACTTTTTACAATAATGAATTAATACTGTATTTGTTTTTCTGTGATTGGCTTATTTCACTCAGCATAATGTCCTCCAAGTTCATCCACATTATACAGTGCTTTGTAGATTCTACATTATTTTTTAGTGTTGCATAATATTCCATTGTGTGTATGTACCATAGTTTGCTTATCCATTCTTCTCTGTTGATGGGCACCTAGGTTGTTTCCATCTTTTTGCTAATGTAGATAGTGTTGCAATGAACATGGGTATGCATATATCTGTTCTTATCCTGGCTCTCACTTCTTTAGGATATATACCTAGTAATGGGATTGCTGGATCAAATGGTATTTCTAATTCCAACTTTTTAAGGAATCGCCATACTGCTTTCCACAGTGGTTACATCATTTTACAGTCAGGGCTATTTCCAGCAGGCCTCCCTCTCCCTACCTACATCCAGGTAGTTCACTCCATCTGCATCCAGGTAGTCTTGGAGGGGAGGGGCATTTGTTCCCGACTTCTGGTCAGGCTCCCAATGGCAATATTCTTCAGGAGTTCTCTGCAGGCTGTGTGTGTGCGCGGAGCCTTGTTTTGGTAGCAGTATTGGCCCTCTTTGGTTTCTGAAGTTATTTTGTATCTTGTTTGCTGGGGTTTGTCACTGGCCTCTGTACCTAGCAATGCTCTCTCTAGTTTGAAGAGGCTCCTTGTCTTGGGAAACCAGTGGGTCAGGTCCTCGTCCTACGCATCTCCTCTGTGTACCGGGGGGGGGGAGGGGAGTGGGCAGGCCCCAAGGAGGGTCTGTCCTAAAGGGCCTGTGGTCTGGCCTTCTCCTGCTACCTCCTGGGTGCTTTTCCCTCCTCCGTAAGGGTCTCTGAGGGGAGGAGGGAGAGGACTGTTATGGACCCAGCACAGCTGGTGTTCAGCTGCTGCTGCAGGTTGAAGATTACAGCCCATCTCCTCCTCCTTGCCCCCCATTTGGAGACCACTTCTGCCTCCTGGAGTCAGTCTGGAGTAGAACTCGACTTGGACAGGGAGCACTGGTACCTGGCTGTTTGTTTGTGCACATTGGTGCCAGTCTTGCATGCATGAACGTCTGACCGCTGTGGGGAGTAAGTTTTGGGGTGCATGGATTTTGTCCCTCAGTCTGCCCAGGGGTGCTCTCCAACTTTCTGTTTCATGCTCTTGTATATGTATAAGCGCCTGTCTCATAAATGCTTGTTTCATGTGCTCCTAATTATGTACACATGTGGGCCCTAGGTGTGTCCGTGGGGGTGCCTACAAGGGTGCCTGGAGTGTGCGTTTGCACGAGGGCGCTGAATCTGGGTGTGCAGGAAGGAGTGTACCTGATCCTTTGTACTTGCAGGTGTACACGAAGGTCTGTGACTGTGCAGGCCTAGCCGCCCCACGTGGGAAGCAGTGTAGTTCTGCATATGCATATTTGCATTTTTGTATCCGTGATCCTTGTATAGTCTCAGCTGAAAGTAAGACTGGTAGGCTCTAGACCAGGGAGGAGTCTGTAGGGACTGGAGGTGAGTTGCCACTGAACCCCTTGTAGGCTCACCCCTCACCATGGCAGCGCCCCCTGCTGCTGACAAGACTCAGGCAGAGAGGCCATTGGGGAACGAGGGCTGCGGGGGAAGGGGTTAAGCGTTGGCGTCCACATCTGGGAGCCATTGGTGCATTCCTGCCTGCTGAGCGCACGTTTGCGGAGGGATCTGGACAGGACAGGGCGGGAGAGGCCGGGTGGTTCGCACCGGCAGAAGGACGGAAATCCAGACAAGAGCAGGAGACAGCCTGGCCCAGCGAGCAAGCAAGCGAGCGGGAAGGGGCCTGGGGAAGCTCTGCCCTGTGCTACGGGGCACCCTACTCCTGCTTAGGACTGCAGGACACAGTCTTATTCCGAGCCCCCCACCCCCACCCTCCATGGGGGAATGTCTCCCTGACTTGTTCTATATTAACAAGGTGGTGGTGATGGTGGTGGTGACACAATAGAAACTTCATCTAGAGCTGGCCCTGCAACCAGTGCGACAGTGGACAAACCCCTTACTGCTCAGGCCTCTGTTTCCTCCTCTGTAAAGTAGATATTGTCCGACGGATGAATCTGAGAGCTGTGCCAGCTGGGTCGGGTTGAGTGACTTCTCACTGGGGCGGAGGCTTGGGAGTGTGGCACTTCCCCTTCCAGTAGGAAGTCCTGTGGGGGGACTTGTGGTCACTTCTCTGCCCAGGAAAGCTGTGGGAGGAGGGTTCCCTAGTGATACCACTCCATCACCACTCCCCGCATCGCTCCTGTGGCTGCTAAAGTTGGGGGCAGGACCCTCCCAAGAGGAGCAGCAGGCTGGGAGGAGACTCGCTCTAGACTATGTTGGGGACTGGTGTCTCTGTAGATGGAGGGTGGTTCAGACATTGCCCAGCTGGAACGTGAATCCCAGCTTTCCTGGCTCCTCCAGCCTCCACTGGGAGGAGAAACACCAGTCTGAGTCCTCCAGCAAGGGGGGTGGGGTAGGGATCTCTTGGGCGCCCCCTACTGGAAGATCCAAAAGCTGCAGCCCATTTGAAGAAGGGGGACTTGAAAGGGAAACCTGGCCCACTCGAGTTAGAGAAATTTTATGGGAAGAGTAGGTGTACATGCAGGAGGTCTATTCCTGCACTAATTCTTTTGCACATGAGAAAACTAAGATCCAGAGAAGAGAAGTGAATTGCTTAAAGCCTCATGGCTCTTAGTTCCAACCGGCCCTTGGAGGAGATGGATTATGGAAAACACTGTATCTACTTCCATATTGGGAGCTCTGATAGCGTAGTGAGGCACTCGACTGCTAACCAGAAGGCTGGTAGTTCAAACCCATCAGCCACTCCTCGGAAGGAAGATGGGGCAATCTACTTCCGTAGTGATACTGCCTCAGAAACCCAAGGAGGGGTCACTATGAGTCGTTTCCCGACTCGACGGCACATAACAGCAACAACAACTTCCATATTACGCCCTGGCCTCTCTTCCCTGCTTTAGGTGTATAGGTGGGCTGTTTGTGGTTGGGAGAAGGGAGTGTAGGGTTCCACACACCTCAGTTCCTTCTCCACCCAGCTCCCTTTCCATTTTTTCCCCTAGAACTTCACTCCCTTCTCTCCCTGAGTTCCCACTTCTGGGACTGAGGAAGGATTCTTCCAGATTCCCACGGTCCTGGCTTCTGGTGCACATCGCTCCTTTAAGAACCCCCCTTCCCTGGGCCTAGTAAGGAAAAGGGGGGCGGGGCATGAGTCTGTGGCCCCGGCCTCACGCTGGTGATTGGCCTGTGGGTGGGTAGGGGCGGGCCTGAGAGAGAGGGCCTCCCCTCTTCTCGGTACCCTCTGCCCCCCCCAGCCTGGGGCTTCGGGTAAAGTTTCAGCCTCAGCACGTGACTCGCCATGGCCGCGGCCGTCGCCCCGTGCCCCTGAGCCGTGGCCCCCCAGACGGCTCCTCTCCCGAGACCCCGCACCCCTGACGCTGAGCAGCACCAAGGCGCTGGGTCAGAGCAGGCGCTGCGCCTGCAGGCGCCCCAGACGGATTGTGCCCCCCCACACTGCAAGGTAAACTCTTCTTCAGGGATTTTGGGGAGCCCCTAGCTCCTGCTGGCATTGGGGGGGGGCGTGTGGCCTGCTCCTGATAGGAACTGCGGGCGGTGACGCGGTGCCAGGCGTAGTCAGACATGGGAACCCGGGGTTTCCTGGGCTTCCCAACCGCCACCGCTGCCTCGGCCAGGCTTGGGGAGCTCCGTCTGTGTGTCTGCGTTCGTGTGTTTGCGTGCGGCCGTGAGGCGTCTGGGACTGTCTGCCGCGAGTGTCCCTGCTGCCGGAGCTGTGGTAGAACCACCAGTGGAAACTCCTACTCTCTTTCTCTTTTTTCTTCAAAAACAAGTAAAACAAAAAAGACTTTCAAACCTGTTTGGGGAGAGATCAGATACCCAACAGACTAGCCCCCCTCCCTCTTTCTCTCCTGTTATCTGAGCCGCCCTGTGGTTTGGGGAGAATCAGCCTGGGGGGCCACCCCCACCAGAGGGAAACTGATGGGCTGTGTGTGTGTGTGTGTGTGTGTATACCGTCCTGCTAGTGTTCCCTAGGAAAGACGAGAACCTCAGAATTGGGTGCGGGCTTCAGTAGTGTGTGTGGGGGTGTCTGGACCAGGTCCTTCCGTGGGGTTGTGGAAGCTATTTTGCTCAGAGGAAGATGGAATGGACTGGCCGTCTACCCTGCTGAGGGTGTTGGGGACCTGGTGCCACCCACGAGGTGGGGAAGCTGCTAGCCAGATGTGTGAGAGTGTGTGTGTGTGTGTGTTTATGTGTGTGTCGAAGAAGGAGGTGTGCTGGGAGATCAGCTTGGCTAGGTCCCCTCCCCTCCTTTCTGGGTACTGCCCTACTGTCAGGTTTCTCTGTGGGGAGGGTGATAGATCTGCAGTATGCTAGGCTGGGATGGAAACCAAACAAAAATGTCCCAACCTTGGAGAAATTTTTCTGCTGTCCATCTAGCATGCTGGCCTGAAGGGGTACCTGTCTCCACCTGGCATCTGCTGTCTCTTCTGTAACCAGAGTGTCTTCTGTCTGCTGGTTGTGTGGACATGCATGTCTGTATATGTTCTTGGAGGGAATTGTTCCTGAAAACATTCACACACACCCTGTATTTCCTCACCTTTCTTGCTTACCCCCTGCCCTTATTCCGCTTCGCCCCTCACCACCTCCCTGCAGTTTCCTGATTAGTAGATTCAGGGACGTTTCTTGCCCTACTCCCTGGCTGCAAGGTTGATCTGGGGAGGTGGTGCAGACAGGACCCCCAGGTCTTGCTAGGACATTAGGGCACAGGCCCCAAAGCCTCCTTCAGGACCTTGTGCTTGGTGGAGAGGCTGGGCTGGATGGGGGAAGCCCCAGGTTGGAGTGGGGGTGGCTTGGAGCCATGGGGCTTCCCTTGGGGGTGGGGATGGGTCTGGGGGTGGGAACAGGAGACAGTGTACTTGGAGCTGGATGTGCAGTTCTCCTTCCTGGAGGAAGAAGGGGGTGGCTGTGGAGTCAGGGAGTTTGTGGCTATGAAGGATGTTGGTGCACTGGAAGGAACTAGTACATCAGGACTGCCTGGGAATGTGGGCCATGTCGTGTGTGTCCTGAGACAGAGGTCACTAGGGTCAGACTCTAGGCCCTTGGGAGCTGAGAAGCATGGATTTGTGGGGACTTTGAGAGTATGCGTGAGTGTGCATGAGGTGGTCACTGTGGGGGTGGCACGGGCAATGCAGACGCAGTGACAGTTCTGAGAACACCCTGGATTTAGAATGACTTAATCCTGCCATCTCCTCCAGTAGTCCCTAAATCTCTCTCTGTCCCTTCACTCTGACCCTAAACGCCCCTGCTACCTCCTCCTCCTCCTAAGCGTATGGCATCCTGACAGGAAGCTAGCTGTGGGCTGCCCCATCCTGATCACCCCCCTGCCTCCCCCGCTGGGCACAGTCACCCACACGTGCCATGACGTGGTTCCTGCCACCCTGACTAGTGTGGGGAAGAGGCCATGGTCTGAGTGGCCCTTTGGGTCTGTTTTTGGGGACAGTAAGCTCCCCTTTCCCTAAATTATTTGTCTTGGAACCTGGCTCCACTGAGACTCCCCCCCACCCCACCCCAATGTCACTCCTTGCTCGGACTCTAGGGTTTTAGGTAGGATGGTCCCCAGGACTGTGGGATTATGTGAGGATAGGGGCTGCCTCAAAGTACAAGCCTCCATGCCCAGTTCCCTGTCCTCTGAGAGGCAAGGACTGGAGGGTGGGTATGTTTGGACCTCAGTGGGGTCTATTTGGGAGCACTGCCCAGATCTAGGGGGATGGGCATCTGGGGAAAGTAATCCCATCCCTGTGACGAATAAACAGAATATCTCTATTCACTCAGCACCCCCACCCGTCTCTGGTGGTGGTGGTTTGGGGAGTGTGGGAAGCTGACAGGGTCCCTGGCAGGATAACCAGGGTTGTCTTGACTTACTGGGTTTTGGGAAAGGAGTGTGGCAACTGATACCCCCAACTCCCAGGGCTTTGGCTGCACATCCTCTCTGACGCCTGCTGTCTCTCCTCCCTCTGTTCCCCTCTCCACCCTCTGGCCGCTGGCTGTCTGGAGCCCACATGGCTTGTGAGTGGATGGGAGGGAGGGCCTGGATCTCCGTGTGTGTCCGGGGAGTGTTCTGGGAATTGGCAGGATTGGCTGAGGGTGTCTGGGTGTCTCTGCAGGGTGGGCGGTGTTCAGGGACCTGGCCTAGAGTGTGAGAATGTGTCAGCGTTGGTGTGTCCGTGTGTCTGTCCCCCGTCTGGCTCTGGTGTGGGTGTTTCTTGCTGCGTCTGGATCTTGCCTTCCCATCCAGCACCTCCCTCCCAGCTGGGACTGCCTGCCCATTGCTCTTTCTCCCCCGCAACTGGAGCCTCCCTTGCCTGTTCCTGGAATTTGGAGAGGAAGAGGAGGAAGAGGCGAGCAGGCAGACAGACCTCCCACACTCTAGCCCGCCCGCCTGGCATCATGGGGAAAGGAAATGTGCTATGGAACTAAGCTTTCTCTGGCATCCCCAGACCCCTCAACACCTCGTAGGGGCCAGGAGCCAGGTCTGACAGAAGGGCTGTGGGCTGTCCCCCACCCCCGCTAGGCAGTGATGCCTCCCATCTCCTACTCAGCGTCACACTCGGGGCCCCTGCCGACCTCTAGGCACCACTGACAGCCTGGGGAGGGGGTGGAGGATTAGGCTGCTGCCAGCCTGGCCCGCACCTGTTGCCAGCCCCCAGCCCTGTAACTGGAGCTGCCTAGGAAGGGGCTATGGAATGACAGGTGGAATTTCTGCGGCTGGGCAATCCCCCCTCCCACTGGGTATGCCTTTCCCTTCTGGCCTGAATAAGGAGAGCCTGTCCTCCCCTCTCCAACTGTCAACCCGATCTCATGGGTGATGCCCCTGTCTCGCCTGTGGGAAGACTGCCTCCCGGGCCCTCTGGCTGTGGAGCTGGACTGTCCTCATTCAAGTTTTCAGACTCTGCTGTCCTGACAGGACTGGGTGTGTGGGGGAAGCATGGAAGGGGGTGGTTCTCTGTTAATGTTTTAATTGCATAAAAACTGGGAGCTGAGCTCCAGGCCAGTGGGGAGTCTAGGTCTGGCTGGCCGCCCGGTTTGGGCTAAATATAGTCTGGGACATCTGCAGAGAAGGGGAGGGGGTGGAGGGAGGTTCCATTCCCCCCACCTCCGGCCAAGGTGCCCTCGTCTGGGCGGGCACCTTGGAGCAGGGAGGGGGATTCCTTAGCACAAAAGGCAGGAGAGAGGCACAGGGGGCTGGGCACAGTTGGGATCTAGCCTGCCCATGACACACCTTCAATGAATCCTCAGCTCAGGACAAGACTGTCAGGAAAGATCTGAAGGCTCTCTGCCCCCCTCCCCCTGAAGTTGCCTGAGGTCAGGCAGCCTGTGTGTGTGTGTGTGTGTGTGTGTGTGTGAAAGAGAGAGAGAGAGAGAGAGAGAAGAGAGAGAGACTGCACTCGAGGTGTGTCACCATGACCCACTAGCTGTGTGCCTGTGTGTACACACCTACCTTGGAGTGGCTCCCTCCAGGCCCCTCCCCTTGGAGCTTCTGCCCCTTGGAACCTACTATGGGTACCAGTCCTCTTTCCCTCTGTCCCCTGCCCCAGAGTGAAACCTTCAGCCCAGGAATCGAGACTTGAGAAGGGGAAGCTGCGGTGGGGAGTTCTCTGATCTCCAGTCACGGCAGGAAGTGGAAGGGAGGAGGGCCAAGGCAGGGAGCCTTGAGTGGCAGGTGGGGAGGCAGGGCTCTGTCAGCCCCAGTCCATGTACACTGCAGTGGAGGGGTGGCCACCTTCTAGGCCATCTTAGCTCCAGCTCCAAGTGGGGGAAGCTTGAGGGACAGCTGATCCCCTGGGGGCTGTTCACAATCTTCATCACCCCCTCAACACTGAAAAAAAAAATGTCTTCCTGTCACGTGGCTGTCACTTCCTGTCCCACTGTGGTTCCTGGGCTGTTTGTTGTTGGTTGCCATGGAGGTGGCCGCCTTGGGCACTCTCCCTGGTTCTTGTGGGGAGGGAGCTGCCCCTCCCCCCAGGCCCACAGTTGGGGAAGACTTGGGGGGCCTGACTAAGGAGCCTGTTTCAGGCTGAGTGTGTGTGGTCTCTGATACCCTAGATCCCCCAGGGCCCCCCGGACTTCTGTCTGTGAGGAGGAGTCACAGCCACCTACTCAGACTGTGTCAGGGGAGACTGTGACCGCGTCTGGCTGTACTTGACTGTGGCTGTGACTGTGTGAGTCTGACTGATTTTGCAAGCCCTGTTCCTTCCAGCCGGGTCCCTTTGCAGCATACAGAGGCCAGTTCCGAGGAACCTCTGCCCTCCTTACCCCTCTGTATAATTTTGGAGGCTCCCCATCCTTGTTCTAGTGGAAGATACCTTTCCCAGAGAGTTTCAGTGGCTGGATGGGGAGGGGCTCTGGGGGTGTCCCCTGGTTGTGTGTGTTTTTGGGAGGGAGTCAAGGTGGCTCTGCAGACTGCCCTTGTCCTCCCTCCTTACACACACAGCCTATGCCATG